AGGGAGGTAACTCGTGGTCGAGTGTATTTTTACGTCCGCTTCGGGAACTTCAAGGGATTCAAGTGTTCCACTACCATTTGCAAGGGAAAGCGAGATAAGCAAAAGATCATGAGTCAGGATAAGCAAAATTTAAACTTTCTTGGTCAACAAATTTGTTATCCCCCAAAGGGCACAAAGACTACATTTACTATATATATTACAATGCTTGGGTATACATGGTGAGCAGATAGGGTAAGGGTCTGTATCTGATCCTCTGTGTCTTACATATAGAAAAGATTTCACCAAGAAGATTGGGAGCTGCAATGAAGTTGAAAAATACTAACTGCCAAACTAAGAAAATATAACCAGTAGATATGATAAATAAAAGGGCTAAAGATATAATCCAAGCCACAAATTCTTAAAAAGTTAATAATTTTGATAGATGGCTTGGATTAAAAACAGTTAATCTCCAACAATCCCTTTGGGAAAAAATGGAAAGTGAAGAGTCACTTGGTCTGGTGGGTCCAGAGTACAGTCATTTGAGATGGGTTTTTTCTGTTCTTCGGAAAAATAACGCAGAAAGTTTCCATTATATTTTGGGTTGAAGAAAAGGCAAACAATGCGTATGAATCAGGATCAGGAAAATATAAGTAAATCCAAAACCATTAGTAGATGTCAAGTACTCACTAAGTCAATGACGCAATCCTTCCCAAATGTCTGCCTCCATTCAGCAGCTACCTTGCACACATAGACCACTGCCTCTGGATCATCAGCATTCACGTGGAAGATAGGAGCATTCACAACACGAGCTACATCTGTACAGTAGGGAGATGACCGGGCCACTCTTGGATCAGTCGTAAAACCAATCTGTGTGTGAAGATGTTACCAGGTGTATTACAGACAATGTTTAGCTTGATAAATTGCTCTTTAATGCTATGGCAGAAGCCATTTTTCAAAAGATACCATTCTCTGATAAATATATGGTTAACCAAGTTGGTTTGTTGTTTAACGCCACATTCAGCAATATTCCAGCTATGTGGAGGCGGTCTGTAAATAATCCAATCTGGACCAGACAATCCAGTCATCAACAGTGAGCCTGACCACCCGATCCCGTTAATCGCTTTTTATACATCCAATTCTAACACAGATCTTAACGGGTATGATCATCTAAGACTTTGAAAATTAAACAAAACAAAACAAATCTCATGTAATGTATGATTACAAAATCCTGAATTCATCTTATTCATATTTTTGCATTGTTTTGTCTGAAAAAAAGGGACTCCATACAAAGGAACAATTTCATTTGGATTTGTGCCTATATATACTGTATACCATGAAATTAATGCGAGCACTTTATTAATGTGAAAAATGCGTCTGTACCCTTCTCACATTATTTTAATGACGCATTTCAGTCTGACCATGTCTACTTTTGAGAACATAATAAAAGACAGAAAACATAAATCTCTCGTCGTCTACAGAATATAACAACAATCTAGACATCTCTCATAAAATTAATTGACAAATGAGCACTAATTTCCATGACACCAATTGATATCCATTGAACGTATTCATCGGCAAATTGTGTAACAATAGCGGAAGTGTTGACACTACATATTACACCATTTCCACAGGTATCTCAAGTCACATATAATTATCACTGGTTACAATCACTGGTCATTGTTTAAAGTCACTCAAGCACATCAACCAGATCGGACATTCTCCAAACATGCAGGATCATTTCGTGATCTTTGCTCACCTTTTAATTTGAGCAAATCCTTTCAACAGAAGTGTTTCAAGTTTGATTACGTTTATAAATGTTGTCATAACACAAGTAGTAGCAAGCAATCACGTGATCAAACATGGCAGCGTAATCAAAACATCATCAGCTCATTTCCATTCATTGCTTAACAAGCTCAATTCAGGCTATTCGGTAAATGACAAGTGTGAAAGAAACTGAACAACATCAAAGATTCAGGGTGTCACATTTTATCATCAGATTCCTGAGCTCTCATTAATTTCATGATTTACAGTATGTTATTAATCTTAGTCATTTATTTACTATTCATGGTATACTTGTATTAAATAATTATGTCAAATAGTTACTTTTCGCCACTAATGATGGGTGAAACATGATGATTTAACATGTTGACTGCCTATCACGAGTATACTCGTAGTATCAATTCTGGCCGAATTTGCCACTACGAGTTATCTTGTAGCAACATCAGTGGTATTTTAAAACAAGTTTCATATGTTGGCAAAATAGGCACAAGAAACAAATGTCTCATGGCGTTCTTTGTAACCACCAGGAAACGATTGCTTCTTGTGCTGTTTTGCCAACATGTGAAACTTGTCTTGAAATACCACCGATATAGCTACGAGATAACTCCTAGTGGCAAATTAGGCCAGACATTGATACTACGGTATACTTGTGGTGGCAGTCAACATGTTAAGGGCTGATCAGTTACATTCTGTTGATGTATTGATAGATTCACAATGGGAACAAGAGTCCCATTATCACAATGGGGAACAAGAGTCATCAGAAGATGACAAATCCCCCCGGCCCCCAGAAATTTGAAAGAACATATCAACTGACAGTTACTTAAAGTCCAACTTGATTTTTTTGGACTAGGTCCAAATTGTTTCCATGGAAATCATGAAAATTAAAAATGCCAAAAATCTGCAAATAGCAAAAGGCAATACTTCAAGATCTGTTTGATATATCTTTCAAGTCTTGTACAAAGATATTGAATGGTTTTCGAGTTGTGATCCGTAAATGAAACCCACCCCTCCCTTTTGAGACTAAGTCCGAATCGTTTCCATGGAAACCAAGAAAAATAAAAATGTCAAAAATCTGTAAACAGCAAAAGGCAACACTTTAGCTTATGTCTGATATATCTACCAAGTCTTGAAGAAAGATATCGATCGGTTTTCGAGTTGTGCTTCGGAAACGAAGGTCACCCTTCCCTTTTGAGATTAAGTTCAACTCATTTCCATGGAAACCAAGAAAAATAAAAATGACAAAAATCTGCAAGTACCAAAAGGCACCACTTCAAGATCTGTCTCATATATCTGCAAAGTTCTGTTGAAAGATATTGACGTTTTTGAGTTGTGCTCCAGAAACGATGCCCATCCCTCCGTTTTTAGACTAAGTCCAAAATGTTTCCATGGAAACCAAGAAAAATATAAATGCCAAAAATCTGCAAATAGCAAAAGACACCACTTGAGGTTCTGTTTGATATAACTACCAATGAAGAATAAAATGGCAAAAATCTGCAAATAGCAAAAGACACCACTTTAGGTTCTGTTTGCTATATCTACCAAGTTTTGTTGAAAAATATTGAACGTTTTTTGAGTTGTGCTCCGGAAACGAAACCAATTCCTCCTTTTTGAGACTAAGTCCGAAACATTTCCATGGAAACCAAGAGAAATAAATGTCAAAAATCTATAAATAGCAAAAGGCACCACTTTAGCGTATGTTTGATATATCTACCAGGTCTTGAAGAAAGATATTGAACGGTTTTCGAGTTGTGCTCCGGAAACGAAGGTCACCCCTCCTTTTGAGACTAAGTTCAGAAAGTTTCCATGGAAACCAAGAAAAATCTGTAAATAGCAAAAGGCACCACTTTAGGTCCTGTCTGATATATGGACCAAGTTTGGTTGAAAGATGTTGAACGGTTTTCGAGTTATGCTCCGGAAACGAAGCCCATCCCTCCTTTTTTGAGACTAAAGTCCGAATCGTTTCCATGGAAACCGAGAAAAATAAAAATGACAAAAATCTGTAAATAGCAAAAGGCACCACCGTAGGTTCTGTTTGTTATATCTACCAAATTTGTTTGAAAAATATTGAACAGTTTTTGAGTTATGCTCCAGAAACAAAATGATTAGGGACAGAAGGACGGACGGACAGACGGACGAGGTGGTGACTATATCCCCCCGCATTACATGCCGGGGGGATAAAAACCTGATTTATTTTATCAAAATGTTCCAAGCTGTAAATAGCTGTACACAATTATGTAATAATAAATCTATGATCAATATGCAACCAAGGAGATATTTCAACTTATGGTATACAGTCATAAATGTTATGTGTCATTGTTCTAAGTTGAAAATAATCCTATAAATGTATCATTAAAATAGCCTATATATTCTGTAAAACTGAAACACAAAATTTGATTTGAAATTTTGATTATGAACACGTCACACTATACGATAAGCATTCCTCTTGCCACCAAATTTGGCTGAGTGTTCACAATAACTCATTAACAAGAGTCATCAGAAGATGACAAATCCTCCCAGCCCGCACAAATTTGAAAGAACAAATCAGCTGACAGTTTCCTAAAAGTCCAACTTGATGAGAGAATTCCTATCTAATCAGTCTGTATACAAGAGTGGTTATTGAGCACATGAAATGTTTCAAAAATTCCTATCTAATTTTGGTCGTTCACCTACATCCTATCCAGTCACTTGACACTTACTGAACACTGTCACATGTCATGGTCTGCAACTTCTTTTCTCTCACATCATATTTACAAGGTAATAAGCATGTAACCAGTTTGGCAGGTTAAAGGTTAAACATGGTGGTTTCGTTACCTGGTTATTGGCCACAATGTGAATAGTTCCATGTGTGGTGTAAGCAGGCAGATCACTCAAATGCATGGTCTCATATACAACACCTTGTCCTGCATAGGCTGCGTCTCCATGAAGCAGCATACTCATCACCTGCAGAATACATCATATACCAATCACCTGCAGAATACATCACACTCATCACCTGCAGAATACATCATATACCAATCACCTGCAGAATACATCATATACCAATCACCTGCAGAATACATCACACTCATCACCTGCAGACTACATCATATACCAATCACCTGCAGAATACATCATATACCAATCACCTGCAGAATACATCATATACCAATCACCTGCAGAATACATCATATACCAATCACCTGCAGAATACATCACACTCATCACCTGCAGAATACATCATATACCAATCACCTGCAGAATACATCATATACCAATCACCTGCAGAATACATCATATACCAATCACCTGCAGAATACATCATATACCAATCACCTGCAGAATGCATCATATACCAATCACCTGCAGAATACATCATATACCAATCACCTACAGAATACATCATATACCAATCACCTGCAGAATACATCATATACCAATCACCTGCAGAATACATCACACTCATCACCTGCAGAAAACATCACACTCATCACCTGCAGAATACATCACACTCATCACCTGCAGAATACATCACACTCATCATCTGCAGAATGCATCACACTCATCACCTGCAGAATACATCACACTCATCACCTGCAGAATACATCACATACCAATCACCTGCAGAATACATCACACTCATCACCTGCAGAATACATCATATACCAATCACCTGCAGAATACATCACATACCAATCACCTGCAGAATACATCACATACCAATCACCTGCAGAAAACATCACACTCATCACCTGCAGAATACATCATATACCAATCACCTGCAGAATGCATCACACTCATCACCTGCAGAATACATCATATACCAATCACCTGCAGAAAACATCACACTCATCACCTGCAGAATACATCACACTCATCACCTGCAGAATACATCACACTCATCACCTGCAGAATACATCACACTCATCACCTGCAGAATACATCACATACCAATCACCTGCAGAATACATCACACTCATCACCTGCAGAATACATCACACACATCACCTGCAGAATACATCACACTCATCACCTGCAGAATACATCACACTCATCACCTGCAGAATACATCACACTCATCACCTGCAGAAAGCAGAATGCATCACACTCATCACCTGCAGAATGCATCACACTCATCACCTGCAGAATACATCACACTCATCACCTGCAGAATACATCACACTCATCACCTGCAGAATACATCATATACCAATCACCTGCAGAATACATCATATACCAATCACCTGCAGAATACATCATATACCAATCACCTGCAGAATACATCATATACCAATCACCTGCAGAATACATCACACTCATCACCTGCAGAATGCATCACACTCATCACCTGCAGAATACATCACACTCATCACCTGCAGAATACATCATATACCAATCACCTGCAGAATACATCACACTCATCACCTGCAGAATGCATCACACTCATCACCTGCAGAATGCATCACACTCATCACCTGCAGAATACATCACACTCATCACCTGCAGAATACATCACACTCATCACCTGCAGAATACATCACACTCATCACCTGCAGAATGCATCACACTCATCACCTGCAGAATGCATCACACTCATCACCTGCAGAATACATCACATACTCAGAGCAGATCAATACATAAGCACTGTTCCCTTTGGCAACAAGCACTGAACAGAGATGCATGTGCATGTGAAGGGTGGACAGTGATGCTGATTCATCTGAATGTGAAGGTGAAGGAGGAAACCTGTCCTTGTTGTAACAAGCAAGGCAGTCATAGTTCTCTGGGGTTTATTTAAGCTGCAAACAAAGCCATGATATAGCTGAAGTAAAAGTAAAGATTGTCTGACTATCATCGACATGTTTGCTGGTCAAGAACATGGGTGGTCCAGCCCTCACAAGACCATCAACAAAAAGGTGAGCGGTATTTAATGTTGTCAAGGAGATGATGCCACTGACGTGAGTCCATCAGTGCAAGAACTGCAGGAATGAGGCAGAATGAAGTTGCAGTATGACTGCTAACAAGGAAGAACAGATGGATCAGGCGGAGCTGGAGGTGCCTGCATGTTGTTAGTGCCTACAATAAGGTTAGATATAAAAAACTGGGTTTCACAGTGCTTGAACAGCATTTGAGGCATCACAGTGGGTGGGAGGAAAGTGTGTGGTCTGAAGATATTTAGAAGTAGGTAAATGTGTTCTATGGCAGTGTACTTTTGTTCAACGAATAAGTAACTCTAATTTGTTGCTTCTGTTAAGATTCAGTAGAAGTTCATAACATTGTGTTTTAACAATAATTGGTTGTCAACAATGAATTACTATCATGTAACCCGTGGTGACTGGTGAGGAAGCTACAATCTTTTGATGCTCTTGGATTCTAGTGTCATCAAAGTCTGGCGCTGGGATGTAATTATTGTAAAACTTTTCCTGAAGTGGTGGATGCATATGACAGGCTAAATGCTGAAGCAAGCTTCTTGATGGTCATTTTAGAAGTTGAGTTGATAAAGAATGATGATAATTTTATGGATATGAAAGGTGACGTTATGTGACATAGATTCTAATGTCGTTGTCAAGCAAGTGATGACAATGACATTAGAATCTGTGTTGAAACGTCGCCTTTCACAGAATAAAGAAGTTGTATATCCATAAAATTATCATCATTCTGAGGCAAGCTGTGCCTCACAAAATGTCGTTGGATATTCAAGAGAAGGAAGTAACACCTGTTTCACGGCCATGGAGTGGGAGAGACTGACTGACTGAGTTTGGTTTTACGCCGCCGCTTTTAGCAATATTCCAGCAACATCACGGCGGGGGACACCAGAAATGGGCTTCACACATTGTACCCATGTGGGGATTCAAACCCGGGTCTTCGGCGTGACGAGCCAACGCTTTAACCACTAGGCTACCCCACCGCCCCTGGAGTGGGAGAGAAGAAAGAATAAAAGATGTACGTCTGTGTGAAGAGAAAATAGATTCCTGTCATCCACAGGAAAGGAAGTTGATTGCTTATGCCATTAAAGGGGTTGTCATCTATCTGTGGAGCCTTCACAGCAGCAAGATGACAGGATAAGCATGACCAAAGAAGGTTGACATCTAAAGGCACTTTCCTAGGTCTTGCGAAGGACCCATTCAGAGAAGAAGCTAATTCACATATTCAGTGGCCGCTTCAAAGTAGCCAAGGTCATCAGTTTCTATGTCTGAGGTGAATTCAAAGACACCTGGATACCATCGAACCAAACACTATTGTCAGTGAGGCGAACAATGGAGTATTTGCAGAACTCGTCATAATTTGGGGCAAAAGAATTTGTGAAACTGGTGAGGGGGAACAATGCCGGAAGAATGACTTGAGTCCTTAAAGGTCACATGCAACGTAAAACACAACTTTGCAGATTCTGATACCTTTCGGTATGGACTTACCGAAACAAATCGTCAAAAAAGCAAATTCAACTTATAAAGTTGAAAAATAACGAGATGCAAAAACGCCAGGAAATCGGAGTTCAAACGATTCACTAATTTTCCCCCGACTTTTCTGGGGAAAACGGGTTTCAACAGCTGGGCTGCGCTTATAGCACGTGCGCAGTGAAGTAGGTTCGTGCAGCTTGGAAGCGGTTGTCCAGTGAATACTCGGTGAAGGCTTTGGTGTGAGCTATTTTTCTAATGTTTTGTTGATATCTCACAGGCGCGAGCTTTTTATATGTTATGACAGTAAATTAACTGTTTATATAATTTCATTTGTCTATTTCACCACACGTTCTTCTTACCAAGTCACTTTCTCAGTTCGATACTTAAAAGCAATGTCATTATTTAGCGTTGACATAATTTCCAACTGTGATATAGATATGTCGTTGTCACAGACTAAACTCAATGTCTTGTTTTATTGACACCTGTGTGTCTGCCTGCCTGTCTGCTAATGACAATATTCAATACACAGCTGCTATCACTGACCACATGCAATTTGAACTTAACACCAATCAGGCTATACACCATAAACAAAATGCATTGATTTATGGCCCGAGTTCGGTCTCTGTCACATTATGTAATTACACAGACAGGCAGGTGTGATACTTGAACACATGACATGTTATGATGTCTGTTGATTGCAAAATGTTATACACAAAAAATGAGCATGTAATTACAAAACCCAACATCTCTATATATACACACACAATGAGCTGTGAGGGCGGCATCTGCAAATGAACCAGCCGTTACACTTGAGTGCACACCCACCCGCTCTGTCTGGTTTCGGTATCCCGGCTGCTTCATTTCGAGGGAGGTAAACCCAAGTACAAAATATTGCACTTTTGATTTGCGAGTATACGCTTATAATTTTGTTAATTTTTGTTTTCATAATCAGCAATGCATATTATATGTCATGAAGAAGTGATAATTGTGTTTAAATTATGTTTAATTTTTTGGTTGCATGTGACCTTTAACGATGAGACATCTCACAGGCAGGAAATCTGGAATGCACTTGCTTGATGTGGGCTGATGACCACCTTGTAAGGGAATATGAAAGGACAGATGAAGCGTATGTGATAAACTGCAGCATGGTGGAATGGTGGAACACCCATGTAAATCTATGACATTCTGCTTTCGGGAAGAGATGTAAAAAAACTTAAATGGTTGTGTGTTTTTAGCAAAGTTTCAACTTTTTGTACGGATAAAAAGACAAAGAGAAATGTGAAAATGACAAGATGAATGAAAATGTGTTGTTTTTAACAAGTGAAAAATCAAGTTTGATATGCAAAAAACAACTCACCAGATATATGGTATCTGACAGTCAATCATATTGTAATCTGTCAATTCACAAAATGCTTCACCAAACATGATGAGACACTTGCTCCGAATTAAGCCACATGGCCAACTTTCAAACTAATCTTTTTATAGGGAATTCTCAAAAATGATTTTTTTTAATTTAAATTGAAATTTTATACTTAGCTTGACTCATGCTTAATTGCTTGTCTCTTTCTTCTTGTGAATGATAGTGGAACACTTGAATCCCCTTTTGAAGCTCCCTTCAAAAAAGCGGACGTAAAATCACTCACCCAGTGTTATCTCCCTTTTGACTCTTTTGGTGGGAAAATGTGTCACATGATCCGACATGCCCCTCACTCTCTCCTGAATATGCGCCCGACACCTGGATTACAGGGAATCCAGAGTGCCATGAGGGGAGGTTGGGAGGGCTTACTTCATGAGTCAGGATAAGTATAAAATATCAATTTTAATAAAAAAATTACATATGTTTCTTATCCTGACTCATGCTTAATTGCTTGTAGAATCCAACGGAAACGGTGGTGGGTCAAGCCACTCTGGATTCATTGCTGATTTACGTCCTGCATACCCCCCTGAGGGAACTTCTTATAGTACTATGCTGATCCTTCCTTCCAGCTTCCTCTGATGAGTTTGGGGGGACCACAACTTGTCAGATTTCCCGGAATCGCTTCACCTGACAGTAAAAGTGGATTTATACGACTCCATGACTTGATTTCCGCATCAAATGGAGAAGTGACCCTTCTTCATATACGAGTAAGTCTTTACAAGTATAGGGTCTGTCACTCATGCTAGCCTATGACGTGCGCACGGACTCTAAGCTCCAACTCTTCCGAGTGTCGGCTTTTACAAGTCATGTGATAAAGGGTGAGATTCATCTCAGCGTCTTTGAGGAACCGTCAATTGTTGTGCTACTACAAGAGGCCCAAACTGGTGGATACAGGAGACATCCATGGTAGCAATGTCTCTGAGGTAGTGGTTGGCAAAAACTGTCTCCGACTTCCAATAGCAGCCCTCCATTATTGTCGAGATGGAGCAGTTTCCATGTAGAGCAAGTGTCAACGCAAGTGCTCTGACTTCATGAGGATTGGAGGCTCGTGGTGGCTCAAGTCCTGCTGCTTTATAGGCTTTTAGGATGACGGCTCTCATCCATATTGATATTGTTGTACGTGAGATTTCTGTAGGTGTCTCCGTAGATAAA